GGGGGGGGGGGGGGGTGTCTTTTTTTTTTTTTTTTTGGTTTCTTTCTGTGTTTGGAGCCATGCTGAGACAAATGTGTTTTGGATTTAGTCCTGAAACAGGTAAGGTCCTTGCTCTTTCTTTTCAATTGAAGGATTGAGTATCATAGCTTGAGTTCAGTTCCTATGCAAATTCTCTGACTTCTGCAAGTACAAGCCTCCATCTACTGCTTGACTGATTCATTGTTCCAGTGAAATGCTTCCCTTGTAACAAGACATGGTTGCAGAGAGGGGGCATGATTCCTCAGGCAATGAGAGCTAACCTGGTGCATATCAGAAAAGCAACTTTGTACTGGATGCTTGTTTTCAGTAGGGAGAGAGTATAAAAAGAATATCAGCAGCAGAGATGTGTTCACAGCGCTCTCTGCTACGTAAAATATGAGCTACAGAGTTTTGTATCAGTTTGACATTTTTTGGGGCGTGCAGCTTCACTCCTGGAAGGAAGCTGAAATAATCAAGCCTGGAGATGCTGAAAGAGTGCATCACTATGGTTGGGTGTGTGTCTGTTAAAACGGCACAATCTGCCTAGTAGCTGTAATAAAAAAGGAACTATTTTTTTCCTGGATTTTTGTTTAATCTTCTACAGTTATGACTATTTGGGTCAAAGGTTTGTTCAAGATTCACAGACCATCAGGGTAATGACATTAGGGCACACTAGTTTTCTAGCATTTCTAGTAAGAAAAACTCCAAAAGGAGCCCAATGCAGTATGTCAATTTATCAATGGGAAGGGAAATCTCTAAATAGCAAGGTACATTATAGAGGAACCTAGGTAAGTTATAGAGGAAGCAGGTTTCTTTAAACACTTCTTTCTTCTGACTGGCATTATATCTCAGGCCACATCTACTTCAGGAAGTTAGGCTGCCAGAAGTTTTGTAGGCTTACAGATGCTATGCTGCTGAGAAATCAGAACTCATGGTAGAGGTGATATCTTCTATTAAACCAACTAGATTTTTGCCAAAAAGAAAAAGTATTTAGTTATAATGTATTTATTATTTATTTATAAAGATTTTTTTTTTTGGCACAAATCTAGTTGGTCTAATAAAAGATATCAGCTCTACTATGAGTTCTGATTCATTTTGCCTCTAGTCTACACCAATACAGATACAATCTGGATACCTAACACATGCTGCTGAAGTGCATACATGTTGAACTACTCTAGCCAGTGCACACATCCTCAACTTGAGAGAGTGTACCAGAGAATGTGAAGTGCCCTTGGATTGAAGCGCAGGTCTTAAAGCAACTAACACTGCTGTGTCAATGGGGTGCTTTTCACATAGGCCTTTTTTTACAGGTGCTACATCCTAAAAGAAGAAGGGTTTGTTCTTCAGGTTATACAAAGACAATGCTTTGCCAGCTCACACCTAACCTGTGTGAGAATGAACATACACTTGTGGCAAGACCAGTGTGCATGCAACTTCTGGCAACTAAACTTTGTACTGCAGCTTAGTTTTAAGTCAGCACCTTTCTATCTTAGTGTTGGATTTTGGTTAGGTAATGAATAAACTAGGAGATAGGATTGTTTTACATATATATAAACAAGATCTAGTGCTGGGTGGTTTTTGCATACTGATGGTATTTCAAATTCAAACCTTGTTTTGATCAACAGGGTGTTTTGTTTTTTTAATATCCTGATTCGCCTGCCTCCCAACACACACACACACACACACACACACACACACACACACACACACACACACACACACACACACACACACACACACAGAGAAAATCTCTCAATGTGCAGGAGGTTACCCTGATTCCTTACACT